GTACAATTTTGAAGTAAGGGAAGATGAGGAGTCATATGATGAGAGGTACCAGAGTTAAAAAATCAGACAGATGAAGAAATACCCGAAGAAGACCCGAGCAAACTTGAATAAAGAGAGGAAAAAATAGAGGCAGACGGGGATGGCTGTGAGGTAGACAATGTATGCTGAAGTTGACTAATTTGAGCCCTTAAGGAAGCTAAGTCAGGATCAGGAGTTGGAGAAGATACAGTGGTACTGACGGAGGGACGAAAAGTACTCAAATGAGGAGCTCGGGATTGGGTTTGAGACTATTGAGAAGATGTGGCAGGCATAGCCAAAGAAGACAAACACCCATTCTTGGGGCAGTTATACTTCCAATGGCCTCGTTGATGGCAGAAGGCACACTCATCAAAAGCCAGAGACATCGTAATAATCAAAGAGATTAGGGGTTCAAGTGTAATAAATCCAAAAATTACTGAGTCAAAATATAATAATCCCAAACAACCCAAACCAGATTACAACCAGAACCAGATCACACAATATGACACATGCACTGGTACTACTAATGTGGTCAAAGTGTAATAAGGACAAAACCTAGAGAACCAATACAAAGAGAGAGAGAGCTTAGTGACCACAGAACAAAGATCAGACCAAAGACGAAGAGATAGGGAGCTTCGTCAATACCAACAACGAAGCAGAGAGCTTCAATCGACACGTAATATTGAGAGATTGCGAACAACAGATGCAGAGACTGAGACCTCGAAGCTGAACCCAGATGATGTCACGACTTCGCTGAGGCAGAGATAGAGACTCGTGATCGCGATCAGACCTAGAGAGATGGAGTCGCGATCGAAATCTAAACCAGAAAAAGAGATGCAAGCTTCAAGCGAGTTTGACGAACTAGAAATCCTACCTACACAGTTCAATTATGAACCACGTGAGCCGATGACGTTGACCAGATGACCTAGAACTTCAAACCAGACGGAACAAGAGAGAGAAAGCTTCAACTGATTGTGAATCAAGAGAGAGAGCTCAATCAATTCGTGATTCAGAAACCAGAAGAAGAATTCATGAATCAAGCGGCTAGGGTTACGAACGTCGCTTTGATAGCATGTAAGATTTCTGAATCAAAACTGTATATTCAAATGTGTATGTTTACAAAGAGTGCATCAGTTATATAGCCCTAATCTATGACAGAAAAAGGAAATACAAAGAAAAGGGAATTGTCTAAAATTGCCTAATTCCTAGTATACCATATATACAATATATATTCTCACAGCGACCTCACGAAGATGGGAGTAGGGTAGCCTGAGCACAAGGGACTCTCTTTCCATTTACCCAGGTCATGGACCTGCTTTGGTTGTACATGTAGGATCAAGGAAGCCCCTTTAGGCTTGGTACTACAGCACAACATGGTTGATAGCAGGCTTAGCTGTGACTTTTGCCCTGAGAAGCTGGGGAGTTTGTGGTTAGATGGCTAAGGATGGAGGCGTCGCTGAGGTGAACACGAATATAGCTGATAGCAGGCTATGAAGTCTTGAAAATGTATGTCTTGGCTAAATCGAATTGAAAAGGCAAGTGCAGCGGCAAATATTACCGCCGCAAGTGCACTTGCTGAGGCATCTGTGCCAAATAGATAGTACATAGACTATGCAGAGGGACTCGTGGCACCTTCAGCCTGGTGGTCTAAGGTAGAATATTCCATGTGATTTGTAGAGACACATGTCCTTACTTTATTTGGCCACTTGGTATCCTTTGGTACCAAGTAAAGCCTATACATAGAATCCATTTCTCAAGATCTAAGGAGAGGATTTTTGGGGACTTAGAGAGATACTGCTTATTTATGCACTGTCATTCTCTTCTTCTTGAGCCACTTGCTCCACCCTCACCTAACTACTCATTCTCCAACTTTCCCAGATTTTTGCTAATTCATCCTCCAACCATTCCAGTTTTATTAGACTATTAACATACTTTTACTTCTCTAATCATTTATTAATCACTGTTTACGCCGAACCCTCCTACAACAATTAACAAACTAATCCCTGCTTAAAAAAAAAAAGCGAAATAAGAAACTTAACGAAAAAGACATAATTAAAATAATAAAAAATAAAAACCCAAAGAGAGAAGGGAGAGAGTGAGAAAAACGCCGCCTATAATAATATAACGACGTTTTTCAAACGCCATAAAGCTATAGCGACGGCCGCGTCGTCGGCGTTTGGTACTAAACGTGACAAAAAGAATTAGCGACGTTTTTAGTACTTATAGCGGCGTTTTTAAAACGCCGCTAAAAGTCGATTTTCCAGCAGTGTTTTATTAAACTATTAACATACTTTTAATTCTCTAATCATTTATTAATCACTGTTTACACCGAACCCTCCTGCAACAATTAACAAACTAATCCCTCCTTAAAAAAAAAAAAAGGCGAAATAAGAAACTTAACGAAAAAGACATAATTAAAATAATAAAAAATAAAAACCCAAAGAGAGAAGGGAGAGAGTGAGAAATGTAGAGTTGATAATGAAGTAAAAAAGTCAAGCTATGAACGGTAGGATTTCGTAAATGAAACGTTTGCTTGTTGCTGGACCAAAAACCATGTGGCGAGTTTTCACTGGTACAACTCAACGACCGGACAGCAACAGCACCTTTCAAACGGTAGCAAAACCGCGTCCCAGCACAACCATCTGCTTACCTATATCCATAGTAATGGTAGAGGTGTTTTCCTAAAACAAAAGAATGTAACTATACCTACTAATTAATATATCAATTAATGTATTAATAGATGATGTAATATAATTTTAGTGATTTAAATCTTTATAATTTGGTAAATATGTATACCTGCAACAAACTGTTTTCTATATTTGGCTTTGCCATTCTACACTAATCTTTGCTTAGAAAAGCCCTTTTCACATAGCAACTCACAAGGTTTTATTGTTGGAATCTACTCACAGAGAATTTACCAATGTCTCTCTGTCATCCAATTTGTTCATTTATTTTTTTGCAGTGGATAGTACTCATATACTTTATCTTGTGAAAGGAAGGAATTTATGCTTTATAAAAAGGATGGTAGAGGTAACTAACTGTAACAATCTTACCCGGTAAGGAGAAGGAAAAGAGGGCCCTAGGCGGCTCAACAAAGTGGAAGAATCATAGGTGCCTTCTCAAGACAGGTTTGAGTCATAATTTGACCAAAACTTCAATTATTTATTTATTTTCGCCACATCAGAAAGAAACCAAAACTTCATTCGCCAAGATCCTAGTAAACAGAAGTCCAGAATAGTGGTGGATGTGAACAATGTTGCCCCATGAGGAGTTGAACCCAAAGCCATTTACTAAACCTAGTACGAGTAAACTCCCATCCTTGGTGGTGTGGAAGAAAGAACTTGCACAAATGCATGTCAAATTTAACTGGAACTGAACCTTAAGGAGTTAGTCACGTGACAAATCGAGCAATGATAAGTAATTCAAGAAGAAATGTTTGTTACTAGTTTAAATTCTATAAAGCACTTGATCCCCTTGAGAGTCACTTCATGAAGCAATGCTCGATAATCACCAGATATATTTGGAACGAAGAGATTATATGAATTTAAAATTAGTGGGGAAAAATTCCTATACCATCATTGTTGAAAACAAAAAAAATAGTACAAATGAGGGCCTTTTGAAAGCATTAGACTTAAAAATAAGAACAGCCCAATTTATGCAGCCACTAGAACAAAGGTATCTCTATATCCCATAATTCAATACTATTATATAAAGAGAGAATTTTGAAATGATATATGAGTAAATTAACTTTAACATCTCCTAAAATTTGATAATGTGACAAATCGAGCAATGATAAGTAATTCAAGAAGAAATGTTTGTTACTAGTTTAAATTCTATAAAGCACTTGATCCCCTTGAGAGTCACTTCATGAATCAATGCTCGATAATCACTAGATATATTTGGAACAAAGAGATTATATGAATTTAAAATTAGTGGGGAAAAATTCCTATAACATCATTGTAAAAAACAAAAAAATAGTACAAATAAGGGCCTTTTGAAAGCATCAGACTTAAAAATAAGAACAGACCAATTTATGCAGCCACTAGAACAAAGGTACCTCTAAATCCCATAATCCAATACTATTATATAAAAAGAGAATTTTGAAATGATAATGGTTAAAAACCAAACTCAAATGTTTGAACTTAGGAATTGTCAAACTTTTAATCGTGTGCTCACACTTTTTTCATAAATCAAGAACATACCTAATCAAAGCCAAATCTAGTTCCATATGCAATGAATACAGGCCCATTACACTTTACACAAATCAGGTGAATTTCAAGGCACAACTCCAGTATTTGCAAATTGAAGAGCTCTACTAAATTGGGATCATCTTCACAAAGTTTCTATACACAGACCTAAAAAAATCCAAAAAAGTACTGTATGTGTGTGCAGATTTGTTATGCATGATGGCATTGTAAACATTTGTAGATGCACACCACACCCCATGGCCTTTTTTGTTTTTCTTTTTTTTAAATTTTAAATTTTTTTAAACCAAACTCAAGAACCCAAGTTGTTTTTAATTTATTTCTCATACCCAATTGTTTTTGAAGTGTTTTTAATACACAATTTCGAATTTAAAATAGTATCTTCAATAAACAATTTGAATAATAATAATAATAATAATGAAGATGATGAATATCACAAAAATATGAAATGATCTAACGACTTCAGCCAATCTATCTCTTTTTTATTCGAGACGTGTATTGAATGCACAATTTTAATTTAAATAAGATATTAAAAACACAACTGCAAAAAACAACATCAATTTGAAAAATAAGTTAAAAGACAATTCGGGTTGGAGAAATTTGATCTAAAATGACTTGGCTTTGGTAAAACATTTCTTGCGGATGTTGCTAAATATACTCAATTTCTTTTTACACTGTCCATGCATCATAAACCTTTTACATGAAGGAGAAACTCCCATTTCTTGCACATCCTGACTACCAAACAAATATAGTTGTACATTTTCCACTCACTTATGATGGTTGCCAATTTGGGTAAATAACCCATCAATCACTATAGATTTGAAGCATAATTGTACAGTAAAGATAGTTCCTCATTAAGACGGTTGAGAAATGAGAACATAATTGTCATTTTCTTGGACAAAACAATCACTGAACATAATTGTCGTTTTCCTTTGGACCAAACAAGCAGTGAAGACTGAACTCAACTACAAAACAGTCACCCAGTTCTCTGCAAGACCTTTCATGGGACCAAAAAAAAACGAACTTACTTTGCTTGGCACAAGGTATCAAAATTCCCTAATGCTGTGTTTGGTTGGGGGATTTGGAGAGAGATTTGGAAAGGGAAATGGAAAAGGTAGGTGAAATGTGAATAAAATATGTCTATATTTCACCTAGTTTCACATACTTTTTCCCTTTCCCTTTCCAAATCCCTCCCAAATCCCCCAACCAAACACAGTATAATGGTGTCTTGGACATGTGATGCAAGCAACTTTCAATTTCTGAGAAATTTCAATTTATTCATTATCCAGCCAGCAAACGCTTCTCTTCCTCTTCGAGTCTTTGCAACCATTTAAATCCAAGATCACATCCAGCTCTTGCAGCAATTTCAAATTGTTCTCTTGCCATCTCCACTGGATTCTCAACAGTGCTTGCTGCATCCTTCCCTGATTTTCGGGCGGAGGAACTTCTCTTTGAATTGAATTTTGTCAGAGATTCTGGGACCTCAACACCTGAGACATGCCAGCACACGACTGTAAGAAAAAAGTAGCACAACACAAATTAAAGAAAAAGTACTGATTCAAAATGGTTCAGTTTATGCTCACGTTCATCCAAAAGATCTCCAAGGATGAAATGAAAAGGGAAGGCAAAAATTGGATCATCTGATGCGATCTCATAATTGAGATATTTACCTAAAAAAATGCATAAAATCTCTGGCATTCCAAACTAACGTGAAATTTTGGGATGTCTTTTTGTTTTGTTTTAGCTTATGCAAACTGATTAGACTGAAAACATTCACCATCTTTTCTCTTTTCTTCTTCTTCTTTCCCTTATTAAAAACTGGAAGTGGTGTTTGCTTGTTTCCATTCACAAAAGCTTGAGCATTTTAATGTCTACTTATCTCCTAAGTTAATGTTAAAATGGACTAAAATTTTACAGGGCACTAACAGTAGCAAAGGAACTGTTTCCAGTGACAGGGCTGCACTAATTGAAGCACTTGAGTGATGAACTTTGCAGGGTTCATTTCTGTGCCACTTGAAGCACCGCCCGAAGGGATTTCAAGAGGTGGATCTCCAGAATGAGAGCAACCAAAGTAATGGTTGAAGTTCGTGTGAGCAGTGACTGAATCCTTGCACCACTCAAATGGACTTCAAGCCGTGGAACTCCATGTCACCACCCGAAGAAGGGTGGATAATTTGATATACACCGCACCACCCAAAGCATGGCTCGAGCAAAGTTTGAGTGGTGAAGAAACACATGCTGTATTGAAGGATTCCGGGCACCGATTTCAGTTACATGTGGTCTTTGTTGACTCATGTACCCACCTGCCTGAGAAAGTGTTAATTAGCTGAGCTTGGAAAGGTTCCTTTTGCGTGGATACAACCTTCAAAAAGGGAAGATCGACCTGTTCAAGCTTAAATCCATGTTATTTTGATCTTCTCTATACCTGTTATTGCATATTTCACCTAAGCAATGAATACAAGTTTGATTGCAATGCATGGCTTGACTTCTTCAGTGTCCTCAGTGTGTAAGGATCTTTGCAAGTGATCTCTAGTTATATATAATATAGCTAAAGGTTGAAGACTAAAAGAGCGAGAGAGTTCATTTTGTGTGAAGAAGAGAGAAAGCACAAAGCTGCCCTGTACAACTCCACCTCTTGTTCTCTGCTACACTCCACTAACTACCTGAGTTTCCCTCTTTATATTCTTGTGTGGTATCTTGGTTGTGTATATGAATTGAGTATTTTTATTTGTGTCAAGTGTGCGAGTTCTTCTTTGTATTGAGAAAGAAAGTGCAGTGAGGTTTCATTCTTATGTTGTTGACCCGCACTTTGTGAGGTACCTTTGGTTTTGTATTGTGCATCAGTGTTTTACGAACCCTTGCTTCATGCTAGGCTTGTAATCGGATTGGATTTTATCTCAGCCCGACCCAAAAGTCTGAACCTGCTAAAGAAAAAAAAATCCAATCTAACAATCCAAAAAATCCAAACCCGTTTAAACCGATTATTAAAAGGATCAGATATGCTAGAATCCGATCCGATCCGATCCGATTATCAATTTTTATAAGAAAATAATAGTAACTTCCAATAAAACAAAAGCTACAATTTTGTTACTTTGCCATTCTCATTTTTTGCCTCCATAAATTTATATACAAATTCATGATCCAAACTCTTCCTAAGGGCATGTTCGATTAGGAAGAAGGGTAAATTACAAATGCACGCATTGAGATTTGCTTAAAATACAAATTGCCCCTTATGGTTTGGAAAATTACAAATACCCCATTGTTTGAATTTTTTATTTAACATAATTAACTAAAAAGGAGAAATTCCTAACTGCTTTCCTATATAATAATAAAATTACCTAAATTATTAATCAAAATATATACCTAACATCATTAAAAACTATTAATTTACTAGATAATTTATTAATAAAAAGGCCATTTGCTATGAAATTAGAAACTTTAAGAAGCGATATGTAATTTTCAAAATTACAGGGGTAATTTGTATTTAAAACAAATGTCAGGGGGTGTATTTGTAATTTACCCAAAGAAAAATGATAACGGAAAGTGAAATAGAAAAAAGTAAAACAAAAAATATATAAATTTTTGCATGTATTTATTTTAAAAGATGTGGATATACTTTTTTTAGGATTATCATTAGAATATTAGCTATCCAAGTTTTTAACTATCTCTTCTTTTTGTTCAAATTGGAATTCTTTGTATATATATAAATATATTTTTTGAGGTGCATATGTTTGGTTCAAGATTTTTACCCTACTTATTTTTCCCAATGAATACATTGGGTTGGGTCTATGAAATATCTATGATTTTTTTAGTTTAATTCATATTGTTATAATGGGGGTGTTTGGGAACCCAAGTTTGAGGCTAAAATAGCTTAACACTAAAAAAGCCAAATAGCCTCAAATAGTACCCTAAACTAATAATTTATATTTAAAATAAAAAAATAAATAAAAAACAAAGCTGCCAGCAGTGGGCAGCCAGCACTGTCACGTTGACAGTGTAGGCACAGTGTAGTGCCAGCCTAGTCCCACAGGCTGAAATGGCAATTTTGCCCCTGTAGACCAATTTTGGAAAAAGTGAGGTTAGGGACAAATTTATCATTTCAACCTCAAACATCATTTCAAACACATTTTTTAATACAACTCAAATAAAAATCCATCATATCTTCCCAAACACAAAAACTAAAATAGCCTACTAAAATAGCCAAAAAGCCTCTAAAATAGCCACTTCCCAAACACCCACAATATTGGTAATGGATTTTTCTAAAATTCTAATCCATTTTGGTTGCAAAGATAATATCTAGAACCCTCAATTTGCATAAAGGAAATGCAGTAAAAAAAAAAAAAATCAAATTATCAAACTGTTTAAAACCATAACTCAAAAAAATGAAAATCTAAATGCATCAAATTGGATTTCTGAAATTCTTGGATTCGGATTTGGGTCATCTATAATCAAATACGACATATGTGGAGTTGGATCAGATTCGGGTTGTGCCTTAATAGGATCGGATTCAGATTTTGACAGATTCAATCTGTTTACAGGCCTGCTTCATACACCTAGTTCGTAAGGGTGATTTATTTGTAAGTGAGCCAAGCTTTTTTTTTGTATAACTCAGTATCCGGTCCACTAGACCGACCAATTTGGGAGATCAAACCCACTATCCACTAGCGGGAGGCCCAATCAAAGCCGGGAAAAAGCCCTGTATGGACTGACCCCAAGAAAGTATTTGCACCTAAGAGGTTTCGAACCTGAGAAGGGAGCACACCCCCATGCCCCAGGCCTTGACCACCAGGCCAACCCCTCGGGGTTAAGATCTAAACTCGTAACAGCAGCGAGTTTGTTTCTAAACTGCACTCATTGCATATGGCTGATTGTTCATTAGAGCCATCACTACAGAGCTGAATCTGAATCTTGTGAGGTTCAGTGGAAGATAAAATTCAGAGTCAAGAGGAGGCACTTAGCCACTTGTGTAGTGGAGATCGAACGGGTGTTCGTGGGGTTGAGGGTTCAAGTTGAGAGTGCTTCCTAGGTGATGAGTTGTAAGTCACCCAACTTGAATCTTGTATCATTCTCTTGATATATTGGATTGCTTTACTGGCATAAGTACCCACAGTTTTTCACCTTGAGAGGGTTTCCATACATTCCTTGTGTCATCATGGATGAAGTTTTTGTTATGACTTTATCTTGCTCAACACTGGCACACAAAAATCATTGTGGAATACATTGGTTGGAAAATTCACTGTCAAAGCCTATTCACTCCCCTCTAGGCTTGTTTGGTTATCCATTACACAATTTCATAAATAATCTCCCTCGTGGAATCATATTGGGAGCAGTGAATCTCATTTTCATATTAATCATATAAAATGAATATTAAGTTGGGAAGAGCTTTTGTTATGACTTTATCTTGCTCAACACTGGCACACAAAAATCATTGTGGAATACATTGGTTGGAAAATTCACTGTCAAAGCCTATTCACTCCCCTCTAGGCTTGTTTGGTTATCCATTACACAATTTCATAAATAATCTCCCTCGTGGAATCATATTGTGAGCAGTGAATCTCATTTTCATATTAATCATATAAAACGAATATTAAGTTGGGAAGAGCTAACCTCTTAGAATAAGGGATCCATATGCTATAGCTGCACCAGCATGTCCCTGCAAATGTGAAGAGAATAAAAAGAAACAATTGTGAAAAAAAAAACAATTGTTATTCAACAATACAAATGGAATCATATTATCTATAGCAAAACATTGCCTACTAAGGATTTTTAAAAGTTTAAATGCAAAAAATTGAAAGGCCAATTGGCAATCAATTTCAAAATGCAAAAAATACTGTTGATTACTGACTAACATATGTTATTCAACAATACAAATCCACAATTAAGTTATCAATAACATTTCAATGAACAGAGAGATTAGTTTTTTAAACCTTCTCTGATGCTCTATGGAAACACCATAATGCTGATGCAACATCTTTCTTCACACAGTCGCCTGTCAAATATACAGCACCTAGAAGGTAAAGAGCACCTGGATGCAACTAGAACATAGAAATCTCCAATGAGATTCTGAGACATATCTGGAAAGCATTCTTAGTATAAGTGTGATTTTGGGAAACATACTTGATCAACAGCCTTCTCCAAATAATAAAATGCTTGCTGATCTGATTGAACGTAATCATTCTATTCAAATACCAAGCTAAGGAAGATCAGAACATCATCATCATCATCATCATCATAATAATAATAATAATAATAACTTAGAGAATGCAGATATTTCCACTTTGAGAAAGGTACAGAAACAAATGAATGATCACAACCATCAATATGCTTGTGAACCACATAGCCTCATAATTGTATCCATAGAAAAATAAAAAATCAACAGTGGTAATGTGAAAATCAAAGGAATTGCAACTACAACCAGCAAATTATGATACTATTAATTGGATTTCACTGGGTCAGGACTCAACAAGCTATATGGGTTCATAATCAACTGCCTCTGGTATGTTTCTCTTGCATAACCAACGAGGTATATTTTTCTCATCACTAGTGCCTCTTATTAGATTAGCCATCTATTTCATGTTCTATTTCATGTTCTGTGCCTCCTAATGTCTCAATATAGAACCCAAAGAAGATTAACGCTAAATAATGCAGCACCCATGAGGACAGACAATCATTGATCTCAGATAAATACCAAGAGAAAAGATAAAAGGTCCATAAATTGATGTCAACAGTAGTATAATACTGTAATGGAAGTATCAAAAACCAATAAATGCTGCTCAAAGCAAAAGCATGCTATTGAATATCTTTTGTTGAAAGTCCAAGAGGTTTAACTAAGCCAAAGAATTGATCATGTTTCTAAATATATAATGCTTGATATATCTATTAGTTGAAACGTCATGCACAGCAAGCCTAACCTCAACTCTCAGCTGGCAACCCAGTTCATATTGTGCATCCGGATCACCCATATCTGCAGCTTCCACTAACAAAGCAGCACCTCTATTATGATGAAAAAGGCAAAGGGTGTTAATTATGTATTTAACTGCATGTGGATGAACAAATACAGGTAACAAAGATATATAAAGACGTTTTGCAAATGATAGAACATAATAAATCAAAACGTTAGATATTCAAATACCCTGGGCAATGGGAATAGATATGTGATCCATGAAGAGATAGAGGCGAGTTTTAAAACTTTTTCTCTTTTGCTTGTCTAGAAGCCTTTACCATAGCAAGTTAGAATGCAGATCACTATTTCAAACTGAAGAACAAAAGCCATCATATATAAAAGTGAGAAGTTCCATACATGGCTTTGCATGCCCCCGGGACATGGTATTTGAGATGCAATTTGGACAACCAATATCTAGCATGGGTGTTCGAATTGTCAGCCTCCAAAGCCAACTCAAAGTTCTCCTTTGCTGTCTGCAATGAAACCAGCACAAGAAATTGAGAGAATGTCATCACAAATTTTCTCCATGGAACAAAATCTGCAACAGAATGAACTAGAAAGCTGAACAGAGAAGTAGAATTTATCAAATTAGTGAAAGGAGAGTCAAATAAATGAACAACAATTGATGACAGTAAACCAAAATAACATAAGCCCAAAACAAAGATGGAAAAGGATAAGAAAACACATTTTGAAAACCCGCTCCAGGCATCTCAAGATTAAGACGGTTTTATAGTTCAGAAATTGACATCTCCTATGTGCCAAACTTGAGAAAAATGATTTCATCAGTCTTAGGATACTGGCATACAAACAAAGATACATCCATACAAATTAAAAGGGAACGGAACGCTAAAGACTGCCCTTTGGGTGGTGGTTTATGTTAATATATGTGTAAAAAATGTATTCAAATATGTGAAAAGTGTACGGAAATATATGAGAATATGTGAAAATGTGTATTGGAATTCTATTTTTTTGGGGTCATTATATGGTCCTTAATGGACACCTAGTGGCCGGTTGTTAGCAGGACCTAAATTAAAAATATGGAAAAATAATAAGACTATTCAGAAAAATGAATTTTTGGTTTCAAATTAATATTACCCGAAGGAGAGGGATAAGACGTTTGTCCTTAAGTTCTGCATAATCAATGACTCTATCAACTTCCTTCAAGGCACTCCAACCTTTGGCTATTAACTCCATTGCCTTCTTATTTCTATTATGCAGCGCTCTCTGCCAAAGAACATAACAACACAAGTTTTAAAAAAAGAAAAGAAAAAATCAATAGGAACAAAATGAGAAAGCAGAATGACTGACCCATTGATTGAATCGTGGAAGATGTTGACTGTTCTGTTTCAGAGTACCCTTTACAAAGAATGACCTCAACATTGTTTTTTGTTTTACTTTTTTTTTTGGGTGCATGTGCGCGCTGTGTTGGAGAGACAAAAATCAGACCATCACTGCACTCAAGTAGCTGCTTGTATTAATCCTGGTCTAGTTTAGCAATTGGATCAACCTACTCACATGAATAATATCTCAGACGAGCTAGTAGTATAGCCTATGATGGTAACAAAATAACACATTGTAGCTAACAGTGGTGTATATAACCAGGAATTTCATTCAGAGGGATCATTGAACAAGTCGTCATCATCATCATCAGTGCACAAGTAAAATGCATTCAGTATTTCTAATCAACTTCCAAATATATAAATTAAGAGTAAAATGTAATCTGGAATTTGTAAAAGACTATGAGACCAAGTTCCAAAAGCTCAAAACAAAAAGCAAATGAGTCCTCAGATATTCAGTATATGACAAATTTTGGCTACATATATATACTAGCAGTAAGCACAAACAATAGGTTAAATTGAATAGCATTTCTAAGTGTCAAAATTTGGAACCCTAGGTCCTATAAACTGCCAAAAACTGGTTGAGACAGAGAGAGAGACAGCTGAGCTTGCCTTGGTGCGTCTCCGGCCAAACGGGAAGGAAATTTTAGTCTGAGAGAACGATGCACCACACGCTGCAAATGGCCCCTATTATTTTAGTCGTTTGGGGTTATCTTTTCCAGCTTTCACATAGCCTGTCACCCGTGATAATTATAAATATTTATATTTATTTTAAATTTTTTTAATATATAAATTATATTTTTTAAAATTTTTTATAAAAATAATTTAACAATCTTATCACTAATCATAGTGTATATGAGAAATTAAAAAGGATACTGTAATAACTATACACAGATTGTATCTATAATTATTTGTATGAGGGGATTTTAAATGCTGATCAAGAGATTTTAACCAAATCAATAAATGCAGGCATGTAGATTGAAAAAAGTTAATAAATGTTGATTAGGAAAATTTGACCAAATCAATAAATAAAATGAGATAACTTCAACAAAAGGAGATAATTTCAATCATACAAATCACAATTTTTTTAATACTATCTAATCATCATTAATAATTAAAAAAAAATAACTTAATATATAGTACTAGCCTATCACCCGTGCTATGCACGAGATAATTTTAGATATTTATATTTGTTTTAATTTTTTTTAAATATAAATTATGTTTTTTAAGATTTTTTATAAAAATAATTTAACAATTTTATCAATAACCATAGTGTATAGGAGAAATTAAAAAGACTACTGCAGTAACTATGCACGGGCTGTATCTATAATTATTTGTATGAGTGGATTTTAAATGCTAATCAGGGATTTTGACCAAATCAATAAATGTAGGCATGTGGATTGGAAAAAATTAATAAATGCTAATTAATGGATTTTGACCAAATAAATAAATGCTAATTTTTTTTTTTAAATCAAAAATTTAGAAAATTAAGATTGAGAGATTGGAGCTCCTACAAGGCTTGGGGTTTAGAAACCCCCTTTTTCTTAATATATTTACAATTATTTATATATATGAATTGCGATTTTTAAATGTCTTTTTTTCCCTTTTTTATATTATATTAAAGTTTAATATTTTGATAATAATCATACTTGTTAGATTTTTCAAAGAATTAAATGTCTTCTTTTTTTTATTATATTATATCAAAGTTTAATATTTTGATAATAATCATATGTGTTGGACTTTTCAAGAATTTTTTTTATGCTTGTTCTTAATGCATTAATGTGTTATCATAAGGGATAATAATCATATGTGTTGGGACTTTTTAAGGAATTCATATGTGTTGGATTTCAAAGAATTTTTTTATGCTTGTTTTAATGCATTAAAGTGTTATTATGAGGGCAAGACTTAGGGGTTGGGAGAAGTTAATAAATGTTAAGGTTTTTTTTTTTTAAATCAAAAAATCAGGAAATTTAGAAATATATATGAATTGCGATTTTTAAATGTCTATTTTTTTAAATGTCTTTTTTTTCTCTTTTTTATATTATATTAAAGTTTAATATTTTGATAATAATCATACTTGTTAGACTTTTCAAAGAATTAAATGTCTTCTTTTTTTTTATTATATTATATCAAAGTTTAATATTTTGATAATAATCATATGTGTTGGACTTTTCAAGAATTTTTTTTATACTTGTTCTTAATGCATTAATGTGTTATCATAAGGTATAATAATCATATGTGTTGGGATTTTTTAAGGAATTTATATGTGTTGGATTTCAAAGAATTTTTTTTATGGTTGTTTTAATGCATTAAAGTGTTATTATGAGGGTAAGACTTAGGGGTTGGGAGAAGTTAATAAATGCTAAGGTTTTTTTTTTTTTTAAATCAAAAAATCAGGAAATTTAGATTAGGAGATTGGAGCTCCCACAAGGTTTGGGGTTAAAAACCCCATTTTGCTTAATATATAGTAATAAAAAAATCAAGAAATTTAGATTAGGATATTGGAGCTCCCACAAGGTTTGGGGTTAAAAACCCCCTTTTGCTTAATATATAGTATAGATATTTTGATAATAATCATATGTGTTATACTTTTTAAAGAATTAAATGTTTTCTTTTTTTTTATTATATTATATCAAAGTTTAATATTTTGATAATAATCATATGTGTTGGACTTTTCAAGAAATTTTTTTTATGCTTGTTCTTAATACATTAATGTGTTATTATAAGGGATAATAATCATATGTGTTGGGACTTTTTAAGGAATTCATATGTGTTGGATTTCAAAGAATTTTTTTATGCTTGTTTTAATGCATTAAAGTGTTATTATGAGGATAAGACTTGGGGGTTTGGAGAAGTTAACAAATGTTAAAGTTTTTTTTTTTTTTAAATCAAAAAAGCAAGAAATTTAGATCGGGAGATTGGAGCTCCTACGAGGCTTGGGGTTAAAAACTCCCTTTTACTTAATATATAGTATAGATACAGCTTTCACATTTAGTAATAAATAACTTGATTCCTAACATTACTCTTTTTAATATATTCATGAATTAGTAAAATAAATAACTTGATTCCTAACATTACTCTTTTTAATATATTCATGAGATATTTAGTAAAATTTTTCTTTTTTTTTTTTAATTTTTTATAGGGATAATTTTTTTTTTAAAAAAAAAAAAACTTCAAACTTGATTATTTCATAAAATAAAATTAAAATTTTTAAATTTTATCAATTTATATTATAATATTTGATTTATTTTTAATCTAAATTATTTGTTTATTTTAGTCAAGTAAAGCGACGATTTTTTTTTTAAAAACTATTAAATCCAATATAAGTATACATAAAATGTTTAAAACATCAGTTTTTTGTTGAGTTTAATTACTAAAATATTTTTATTTATCAATTTTACTTAACGAAAATAGTCAAATAATTTAGATTAAAAATTAAAAAATTAAATTGATAAAATAAAAAATTTGGAATTTATTTTGTTATAAAGTCAATCCTAATTTTTAAATATTTTTTTTCCTTTTTTATTTTTAGTTTTTTATTTTTTTTTTATTTGAGTAAATTTTAAACTTTCAGGTAACACTAGAAAAGTAAAATAAATAAATAAATAAAAGTCTACTAAAACCAAAAGCAATTGACTTTTTAAGTAATTTATATATATATATATATATGGAATTTAGCTTTTTTTTTTTCATTTTCTACATTTTAGATCTGTCGAGGTGAAAAAGTTTTTTTAAAAAAATACACAATTTTGAAATAAAATTATTAAAGACAAAAGAAATTTTTTTTTTTAAAAAATGGCTTCTTTAACTAGCCTCCAAACCCAATTTATGTCTTTATTTTTATTCTAATTGAATCAATTTGTGAAAGTCATAAATAATTTTTTTATATTTCGTTATTTAAGAGAAATGCTATGTACTTCGAATTTGAACTTGTCTCGAATGGCTTGAATTTCACTTTACCGATCGTCCAGCCGATCATCCGGGTAGTAATCTGGCAAAAAGGCTGACAGTCACGGTTGACAAGGTGACAACTGCGGTAGATAAGTGTTTTACCCGGTCGTCCAGATGATTGTTTGGCCAATTGTCCAGCCAGTTGATCGGTGAACACAGATTTGCGACATTCGCACCTGAAGCTCTTGAGGCCTGAAACATTAATCTATTGAACAATGGCCATAGGAGAATAGGGAGATGAGAAGTTGAACCACGCAACCAGACAAACTTTAAACTCAAGAAATCATATTTGGTAGCACTTCATTTACCGACCAACCCTTAGTCATATATAATCTAAATTAATTATACTCTTTCAAGATTTTTAATTCATATAAACTTAATTACTTTTTAATCCCTTTATGCTGAAATGTATATATTTTATTCTTATTGATCCATGTATTTACCTATAATCTTGTTACGAAATTTGTCTTTATAAATTTTATTTGTAAAGAAATTCTGTAGTGTTTAGTTATGCTTTAAACTAGGGCATTAACCACCCTTTGTAGTATAAGGTCAAAGGTTCAATTCTTAAGGACATGAGTTTGATACATTAGGCATGTTTGTTTGGATGGATTAGATATGAGGGGATTGTAATCCATTGAACTATTAATCTTATATTTGGTTAGGATATTATAAAGAAAGGATAAATACTCAAAAGAAGCCATGTTGAAGTGTGAATAGACCACCCATGTAGCATGTCATTTGGAACCAAGATATCATCAAAATAACACTTCTCGCATGGCTTAAGAATAAACTCATCCTTCATCCATGAAGCCGAGCTAGGTGCCACATCAATATTGTGATGTTTTAAGAAATGAGGGACCGCTCAAGCGGTGGAAGTACCGTTCGAGCAGTGAAAGAGGGTCATCTAGTATCTCGTCTATAGGTTTGAAATTTTGGGAAGGAGGCTTTATCGCTCGAGCGACCGAGTCACCGCTAGATCGGTTCTTGCTCTCATATTGCTCGAGCAATCTGTTTGGAATCAGCCAATTAAAAATCAATTTTCACTCCACTTTTTCTCATTTTTTCATTTCATTTCTTCCTTTTTTCCCTATTTACAAAAATCCTAGTCCCAAACACTTGATTTCTTCTATTTACTAAGGATCTCTTAAAAAACTTGCATCAGGAATGAAGAACAAGTGAAGACCAAACTTCTCACCGATTGGATCGTATTTTTGTAACGTCCCCAGCACCAAGTGATATTGTCCGCTTTAGGCCGGGTTATTGCCGAAGCATCACCTCGGCCCCAAGTGAGGCCTTTTCCAGGGGAAAACAAAACCGTGAGGAGCCGAGGTGATGCTTCGGCAATAACCCGGCCTAAAGCAGACAATATCATTTGGTGCTGGGGACGTTACAGTGGTATCAGAGCTAATGTCGGTGGTGGGGCAAACCTCGGCGTTCCTCAGCGAGGACGCTGAGTCCATAAGGGGGAGAGTGCGCCCTGGCGTACTGCTCCTTAAGGCGAATCCCACATCCATTAGGTTGGAGGAGAGGTAGTGCCTTATAAGCCTACGAACCTCCCTCCCCCAAGTGAGGCCTTTTCCAGGGGAAAACAAAACCGTGAGGAGCCGAGGTGATGCTTCGGCAATAACCCGGCCTAAAGCGGACAATATCACTTGGTGCTGGGGACGTTACAATTTTCATCGAGGTTTCTAGTTGGGTTTTCAACTTCTAGCTTTTATTTTGAGGTAGGGATATTCTTAACTTAGTATGTCTACGAGTTGAGGTGGATATGTGGT